TCCTCCTCCCCCTTCCTCCTCCTCCCTCCTCCTCCTGCTCCTCCCCCTTCCTCCTCCTCCTTCCTCCTCCTCTCTTCCTCCTCCTCATCCTTTCCTCCTACTTCCCTCCCTCCACCTTCCTCCACCTCCTCCCTCCCCTCCTCTTCCTCCTCTCCTCCTCCTCCTCCTCCTCTCCTCCTCCTCCTTCCTCCTTGCTCCTCCCCCTTTGCCTCCTCCTCCTTCCTTCCTCCTCTTCCTGCCTCCTTCCTCCTCTCCTCCTTCCTCTACTTCCTCTCCCTCCTCCTTCCTACTCCTCTGCTCCTTCCTCTCCTTCGCCCCCTGTCCTCCTCCCTCCACCTCCTCCTCTCCGTCCTCCTCCTCCTCCTCCTCCTCCCTCCTCCTCCTCCTCCTCCTCTTCATATTACTTCCTCCTCCTCCTCCTCCTCCTCCTCCTCCTCCTCCTCCTCCCCCTCCCCCTCCCCCTCCCGGGATTTGAGGCTCTGGTCGGGATTTGTCTCGAGGTTGCAAGTTGTTCGTCATGTCGGACCTCGGGGGTCCAGGACGCGTTGAGCTGGACGAGGGCGAGGATGAAAGGAGGAGGACGGGGGGGCAGACTGCGAGCTGCCTGTCCAGGATGTCGCTCTCCCTGGGGCACGCTTTGCGGGGTTGCGGGGGGGCGGGGGCGATCGGGGAGGGATGCGCCCTGCCTCGTGCTGCGCAAGCAGGAGGTGCATTCTGAAATGCCACGAACAGGAGACTGTTTTTTTAGGGTCCGGCGATTACCCAGGTTATCTGGCTTGCCCCCCTCCCCCCCCGCCCCCCAGGATGTGCAGGTCCGGGGTCGGGGCGGGCGCGGGCATGTGCAGGGCTGCCCACAGCCCATCCCCTCCCCCCCGGATAACCCGGGTTATCGCCGATTCAAGAAAAACGGTCTCTAGGCGATCGCAAACACGGATCAAGGGGGCGTGGATTAGCGACGGGTCCCGTGTCCACGGGGAAGCGCGGATTGCCGCCGCCGAGGGGGCGGCGTGGGCCGCATTTCTGGGGAGGGTTAGCACAGATTCAAGCAAAAACGGCCTCCAGCGAGGCACAAACATTTAGTCGGGCCTGGCGATTTGTTTAAAGTATTTTTTGGCCATTTCTTATTTTTTTGTTCGTCGAAAATCTTCTGTAGGGGGACAGGCCCGACTTGACACAAACATCGGCATGCGCACAACTTTCACAGGTGCGCGCGGATTTCTCGTGAGCGCTGGGCGCGCCGCTGCTCCCGGGCGCGCGCGCGCGGCGCGCGCCAGAGGAGCAGGGTGTAGCGCCGCTTTTCGAGGAGGCCGCGCGGCACCCCGAACATGTTATGTTTCTACTTGTGGAGGGCGATCTATGGAGAGGAAGCATGCTGCCAAGTAACGTCCAAATGATTCCCATAAGCATACTCCAAATAATTTCCAATTTCCGCGCGGCACTCCGAACGCTTTTTTGTTGTTGTTTGTTTTTTTTGTCCACGTGTGGAGGGCGATCAATGGAGAGGAAGCATGCTGCCAAACGTTTTCCAGATGTGCAAACAATGCTTCAGACACGTTTTTTTAAGTGTTAAACAACCATGCCTGGAATATGTTTAGGACATGCTTTACACCTTTTGGACACACTTTCAATTCGATGACAGGATTGTTAGAGTGTCCATTGTCGTGGCATCCACAAGTTTATACCCATTTCGCCCCCCTAAAAAAGAGCTTGATGGCGCGGTGCGGTGGTGGATGCACGTCGCGTTGAGTACAGCGCCCCGTCTCGCTAGCATCGCCATAAGCACCATTTGTCACCATTTGTCTGCTTGCGCCTTCCCGCCAACCAGTCCCCCTACATTGCCATGGTGCAGTTGTCTTGGTTGTCTCCGGAGTCTGTACATGCTCAAGTGTCACCATGTCCTTCCTTTCTGAACGGCCGCTCTTCTCGTTGTACCCAGGCTGGGCCGAATGACGCGACTTGCGCCCCTCAGCGGCCCCGTCGTAGACGTCGAGTGCTTTTCCTGGCTGCCTGTCCGCTGTGCCGCTGCAGCACAGGTCGCCGTCCTCGTCGTGGGCGGACTCGCGCCTCCGACCCTGTCGTGCGTTCCTTCGCGCGCGCCGCCGGCTGCCCGATCCGCTGTCCTTCGGGCTGCCTGCTGCTGTCTGCTGCAGCTGCGGCTGCTGCCGTCGGCCACGCGCAGAAGGGTGTGCGCAGGGGGAGGGGGGAAGGCTCCTTCGAAGCACCCTGCTTTTTTTGGGAGGGGGCCTTAGAGCCGCAGATTCGAGGCCGGCGCCGTCTAAGAAGCAGCCTCTTCCCAGGGAGCCTTTTCCCTTCCCCCTACAGTGCCGTTTTTAATACATGCTCCGCGTGCGGATCATGTAGTAAACATGCACGGAATTAGTATTAAAAACAACGATCAGTCCATTCATAAACGTATTCAAAAATTATTCCTGTATTGAAAATCCTGTATCTTTAAACATCCGATGTATTAAAAACTGCCCATTAACCCCGTGTGCGCGCGGCCAGTGCTGCTCCTCTGCAGTGCTCGACCCGAGCGGTGTTTTCTGACGCCTCCGGGGGCCACCTGCGCTCGGAGTGCGTGTGACCGCAGGGGCGAAGCGAGGACAGAGCCGAGGACACTGTTCAGAGCGAGCCTGGCTCCCTCCTCGGCACCCGGGGCTTCGGTCGCCCCCCCCCCCCCCCGGAATCTCTGAGCAGGGTGGGCTTGGAGTTAAGTCGGGCCTGTCCCTCTACAGGCGGAATATTCCAAAAACAGGCAAACAATAGTCTGGGGATTATTTGTTGGTTCTGTTTTGCCTATTTTGGGGCAGTTTTGGTGTCTGTTTTTTCGTTTTCGCGAAACTCCGCCTGTAGGAGGACGTGCCTGACCTAAGCCTGGAGGCGCGCGGCGAGACAGCTACTGGATGATCCAGGAGACCACGCGCACGTACAACCGGAACGGGGGGGGGGGCAGGAGGAGGAGGGAGGAGGAGGAGGAGGAGGAGGAGGAGGAGGAGGAGGAGGAGGAGGAGGAGGTGGAGGAGGAGGAGCAAGGAGGGGAGGAGGAGGAGGAGGGGAGGAGGAGGAGGAGGAGGAGGAGGAGGAGGAGGAGGTGAGGGGGTAGGGGGGAGGAGGATGGAGGAGGAGAGGAGGGGAGGAGGGAGGATGGTAGGAGAAAGGTGGAGGAGGAGGAGGAGGAGGAGGAGGAGGAGGAGGAGGAGGAGGAGGAGGAGGAGGAGGAGGGGGAGGAGGAGGAGGAGGAGAGGAGGGGAGGGGGAGGAGGAGGGGAGGAGGAGGAGGAGGGGGAGGAGGAGAGGAGGAGGAGGGGAGGAGGAGGTGGAGGAGGAGGAGGAGGAGGAGGAGGAGGAGGAGGAGGAGGAGGAGAGGAGGGAGGCAGCGCGTCGGGGCAGTGGCAGGGGGGATGCGCACAGGGGGTGGATGCAGTGACCTCGGCATCGCTCGGACGTGTGCGTGTTTCCTCGGCGAGGACCGTCGAGGACCACCCTCGACCATCGGGGCACCAACAAGGGCGCACGAGACTCAGAGCGTGAATTACCTACCCCGCTTTCGCTTCCAGGCAAAACCAAGTCATACCACGCGCCTCCTCGTCAAGCGGCCTGACCAGTACAGGCCGTAGTTTGGCGTCGCTTGGTATCTCTTGGAAGCGAGGGTGGTCAAAAGCGAGGTAGGTTTGTTTCTTCCCTAATGACAGGGGGGATGCGCACAGGGGGGATGCAGTGACCTCGGCATCGCTCGGACATGTGCGTTTTTCCTCGGCGAGGACCGTCGAGGACCACCCTCGACCGTCGGGGCAGCAACAAAAGAGCGCACGAGACTCAGAGCGTGAATTTCCTACCCCGCTTTCGCTTCCAGGCAAAACCAAGCCATACCACGCGCCTCCTCGTCAAGCGGCCTGACCAGTACAGGCCGTAGTTTGGCGTCGCTTGGTATCTCTGGGAAGCGAGGGTGGTCAACAGCGAGGTAGGTTTGTTTTTTTCCCTAATTGCAGGGGGGATGCGCCCAGGGGGGATGCAGTGACCTCGGCATCGCTCGGACAGGTGCTGTTTTTCCTCGGCGAGGACCGTCGAGGACCACCCTCGACCGTCGGGGCAGCAACAAGAGAGCGCACGAGGCCGACAAATGCACAGAGGAAGGGACGTCCGAGCGACGGCGAGTGGCCCCCAAATCGCCCCCGGAGCGCCGCCCGGGGCCCGCGGGCCCCGGCCGGCCCAGGAGCGTGCGGGTGCACGCTCGGGGGCCTGCCGCCGAGCCGTCGGCGATATATATATTATATATATATATATATATATATATATAATATATATATTATATATTATATATGCGTCGCCGGCTCCGGGTCGGCGTGCCCCCCCGTCGGTGCCCCAGGCCCCCCCCACCCCCAGACCCCCCCCCTCCCAGGGGGGAGGAAGGGGAGGAGAGGAGGAGGAGGAGGAGGAGGAGGAGGAGGAGGAGGAGGAGGAGGAGGAGGAGGAGGGCGGAGCAGGAGGAGAAGGAGGATGAGGAGACGGAGGAGGAGGCGGAGGAGCAGGGGGTGGTGCGGGCGGTGCAGCCGGTTGACTTGAGGTCCGTGGTGGAGGTCCAGACGGGAGAGCTGGTGCCCCGAGGGTTCAGGGGAGGAAAAACCCCACCCGGGCCCGACGAGTGGCGTTTGCTGGACGGCCCTGGGCGTTTACGAAACGGCCCTGCCCTAGATTCGATTCCTTCTGTGGGTGCGTCTGCTGAACAGCTGCGCATGTCGGGGTGATCATGATGGGGGTGGCTTTTCTGCCCTCGAAAGGGGACAGGGCACAATCGACGGGATGGGGCAGAAGTGGTGCCTCTGCATTTGCCAGCAGGAGCCCTGGGAGCCCGGCCTGGTTCCACACGCGAGGTCGGCGACAGCATTCTGGCGCGACGGGCAAGCGGCACCAACATTGTGTTGTATTGTAGCTATGTGTTTCTTCGGGACGATCGAAATGGGTACGGAGAGGATGGGTACGATGCCCAACAGCAGTTCCTGTTCAAATTGAACAGGAATTGCTGTCCGCGCCGCCGCGGACGTTGTTCACTGAAGACAGACAGCCGCCGGCCCAGCATCGGCCGCTGTCGGTTTTGGACAACATTTGCTGTTAGGCATTGTACCCGTGTTTCCGCACCCATTTCGGGCGTCCAAGTTGCTACAGTGTGTTGTGCATGCTAGCAGGAGCTTTGGGAGCCTGGCCTGTTGTCACGACAGAGGTCGGCGACAGCATTCAGGCGCGACGGGCAAGCGGCACCAACACTGTTTGTATTATAGCTGTGTGTGTGTTTTCCCCTATCAGTGCTTGCACTGAAGGGGTCCTAGCGGGAATTGAAAGATTTGTTTCCCGCCGATTTTGGTGGTCGGCTGGGTTCCCGTGTTCCTGGGTTCCCAGGTTTCTGGTTATTGATTCCGGGCCGATTTCGGTGAGTTCCGGGTCCGGGGTTCCCGGTCGATCTCCTTATCGACCAACCTACCCACTGAGTGGAGTTTTTTCTCTGGTGTAATTGTTTTGACCCTCTAGATCATAACCCTCGCTGCTTTGGACGGCTGGTTTCTGGCGACTGGTCAGGTGCCCTTCCCCCCCAGTCAGCTTGCGCGACTGGCAAGAGCAGAACGACTGAGAACTGGTGCAGACCCAGTGGAGGTCTCTGGGGGCGTATCGGGGGCCTCCCGGCGGATCTTGGGGGCCTCTTGGGGCACCTTGGGAGCCTCTTGGAGGCCTCTTGATACGTCTGCCTCGTGGCGGTCTTCAGGGCCTCTTTGGGCGCTTCTAGTGTCTCTTGGGGGCCTTGAGGGCTTCTTGAGCGCCGCTTGGGAGCCTCTTGGAGGCATCTTTGGGGCGTCTTTTGGGCCTCGCTGGGGCCTTTTGGATACTTCTTGCGCCGACTTGGGGCCCTCTTGGGAGCCTCATGGGCTGTCTTTGGATTGCATATTGGAGGCCTCTTGGGCCATCTCGGACGGACGGAGACCGAAACACGTGAGATCATAAAATTCCTCCAACCTAAGGAACATCAATGTTGTCCTCGGGCTCTCCTAGGGGGGCCTCTTGGAACTCTCCTGGGCCATTTTGCGGGCCTCCTAGACCCTCTTGGAGTCAGTTTGGATACCTCTTGAGACGTCTTGGGCCATCTTGGCATCATCTTGTTTGTCTTGGAACCGTCTTGAAGCCCACCTTGGCCGTCTGGAGACAGAGCAAATTCAAGGGAAATGGTGTTTTGGGGGGGGGGCCTGCGATAGGGGGGGCGGCCCTAGAAGAACAGGAGAAACCCTCCAGACAACAGAGAGTCATGCCAACACGTCCACTCCTTGCAGGCACCGTGGCGGACCGCCTGCGTGCTTCCGCATAGAGCAGCTGGTGCGCAAGAGCTCCGGGCACCGCTGCGGCCGGTTGACTTCGTACAAGTGGAGCTCGACATGGTAGTGATAGCACGTGCCGCTTCGGGGGGCCCTCCCGGGGGCCTGTCGGAGCTGCGGTGAGGGCTCTTGGAGCTCTCTGTCAGGCCTTCTGGGCCCTCTTGAGGGCCTCTCGTGGTCCTAGCACAGGTCCTCGGGCCGCATTGAAGGGTATCTCTTCCCCGTTGTGGTCATCGCCGTCCTCCTTCTCCTGCTCCCCCCCTCTTCCTCCTCCCTTCGGCCCGACCTCGACCGACTACCCCCACTCTCGGTATCGTTTGACCGATCCCCATCCACGTCTCCGTCCCCTTCGAGACCCCCACCAAATTACCACCCCAATTGGGGATGCACCACCCGAAACCCGACGGGAAGGACCTGTATCCCCATCTAGGGGGTAAATCGGCCAGCGGGGCCCAGGCCACGTCGCTGGGGATGGGGATCGCTTGAACGATACTTCCACTCCTGCAGCAGTGGCGAAGAGTCGTGGCTCGCCTAGAGCCCTACCAAACAATGTTCTAAGATCCGATTGTGGTTCCCACGAACTGTTCTTAGAACATTTCTGGCGGAGTCTGTCTTGTTTCAGCACATCGGGTCTATGTTCTAAGAGCCTTGTTTTCGTTCTTAGAACATATTTGGGTTCTAAGAGAATTTCGTGGCAGGTCTATAGGAATTTCGGGACGGTCGGTCCCTGCTCAAGATACTCCCACTCCCACGCTGTCTTCGACCGCCCTGCCGATCGTCGTCGCCATCGGAAGGCCAAAGCCCAGGAGCACCAGCCAAGGGCGAAGCGTGGACCTCACGCCAATACCCTGGACGTCGGGGTGGAGCATGTTCTCGGGCGTTCGGTACCTGTCGGTCGTTGAAAGCAGGTCATTCTGGATTCCCAGAACCCAATCTACTTCAAGCGCCTTCCTACTTCAAGAATCGATATGGTTTGGCTGTTGTTTGTCATTCCTTGGGCGGGCCCGAACCCAATCTACTTTATCCGCCTTCCTACTTGATGCTTCTACCTACTTCTTCCCACCGGCGTGTAATGGGGCGCGACACATGGGGGGGCGTCGAGGGTTGCACGAAAGGGGCCCTAAAGGGACCCTAAACGAGCTCCCTAGGGCCCTGAGGGGGTACGAAAGGTGCACGAAAGGTTCACCTTTCTTGGCCCCCCATCTATCGCCCCTCCATTAGGGAACGCCCGGGCTCCCATCAGAGATCGCGGCCGTCATAGCAACAGAAACGTTCCCCTATCACCCTGCGTCGGGAGGAGGAATTGGGGGAGGGGCGGGGAGGGGAGAGGGGCGCTCTCGAGTTAGCGACGACGCGTGACGACGATGTTGCGCTGCGATGCCAGGTCACTATCGTTCTTGCTATCGATCTCGCTTTCGATCTCACTGTAGATCTCACTATTGATCTCACTATCGATTCCTCTATCGACCTCGCTATCGATCTCACTGTCGATCGCACAAGGTTTGTCACAATCAACCTCACTGTCGATCTCACAATTGATCCCACTATCCGTCATATTCTAGCGATCTCGTTATCGATCTCACCATCGACTTCATTATCGATACCAAGGCGGGACACTCCCAGCCACCGTCCACCCACCGTCGACGGAACACCGACGGGACACCAACGGGACAACAACGTGATATTCACGGGACACCGAAGGACAACACGGCGGCACACACCGGGCCACCGCGCGCCCACCAGGGGCGGAATGGTGGTCCATTGAATCCGAGTCGCCGCAGCGACGGCTGGTCATCCTCTCGGGCGCCAACGCAGCTTTGCCTCCCGAAAGCGATTTCCTGGTGGGGGGCTCTCCGTTCCACTGCGATCTCATCCCCCGACCTTTGATCCTTTCCCTCCCATCCCTTCTCACTGCGATGTTTTTTTCTCTATCCGCGGACGCGTGCCGACCTGGGACTTCACAAAAGACCCCATCGTGTTATGCGCAGTCGGAAAGGGGACACTTGCGCGACCCGTGCAACCTGGGGGGGCCCTGTGGCCTGTGGGGCCTCTGAGTCCTGCGACACCTGTGGAACCTGTGAGAGCTCTGGACTGGGACCTGTGAGACCTGCGACACCTGTGGGACCATTGAAACCCGTGGCGCCGGCGGGACCTGCGGGACCTGTGGGATTTGGGGGACCTCCGTTGGACCTGCGAGACATGCGGCACTTCTGGGACCTGTGGGGCTTGCCAGACCTGTGGGACCTGTGGGGCACGCGAGACCCGCGAGACCTGTGGGACCTGTGGAACCTGTTGGAATGTGGTCACTGTGGGACCTGTGGGGCGACCCGCGACATTTGTGGGTCTTGTGGGGCCCGGTGGGGCCTGCGAGATCTGCAAAGACCTCGTGGGACCTGCGAGACCTCCAGAAATGTGGCCCACGCTGGGGCGGCACCGCCACCCTGAGCGACGGGAGCACAGCGCCGATCCGAAAATGCGTTCTCCGCTGTAGCGAGGGCACATTCATAGAAAAACTATAAACAGCCGGATCGTAAACGCAGATCCTGTGCAGCATACAACGAAGCGCGGAGGGGGGGGGCGAAGACTCTCAGGACGTTCGGGGGAGAGAGGAGAGTAGTACTCAGATTGCGTGATTAACTGTGGAGGGGGAGGTGGAGGAGGGAAGGAAGAGCGGAATGCGAGAGGAGGATGGGCGCGCTGGACGATGGAGGAGGAGGAGGAGGAGGAGGAGGAGGAGGAGGAGGAGGAGGAGGAGGAGGAGGAGGAGGAGGGAAGAAGGGGAAAAAGGAGGGAGGAGGAGGAGGAGGAGGAGGAGGAGGAGGAGGAGGAGTGCAGGTCGAAGTTCGGTGCGCCTGGTGGGGCCGGGGCGAGCGGCGGGCAGGGCCGTGCTCGAGCTCAAGCGGGCCGCCTGCCCGCGGGAGCGGCTGGACGCCCGGGCGCTCGTGCGGGTGGACGAGGAGCGCCGCGGGGGCGTGCGGGGGCCCCTCCCCGGGCCGGGGGCGGAGCGAGCGGGGTGGAGTTCGGGGGCGTCCGGGAGGGGGGCGGCCCGGGGCGCACGTGCGTGTGTGCGTGCGTGTGTGCGTGCGTGCGTGCGTGCGTGTGTGTGTGTGTGTGTGTGCGTGTGTGTGTGGTCGTGTGTGTGTGTGTGTGGTCGTGTGGGCGAGGAGCCGCGGGGGCGGGGGCCCCCTCCCCGGGCGGGGGCGGAGCGAGCGGGGCGGAGCTCGGGGGCGTCCGAGAGTCGGAAGCTGGGCGAGGGCTGCTAAGACCGTGGCTGCTAGAACGGCCCTCCGGGAAGGAGAACACAACTTCCCGGAATGAGGCGCGGCACGCGAGACAGTCAACGGGCTTCTTCCCGGAAGGACGAAGACAATTTCCCGGAGGTCGACTTTAGCAGCCACGGATTTAGCAGCCCTCGCTCCGAGGTGGGAGGGAGCGGAGGGAGCGGGGTGGAGTTCGGGGGCGTCCGAGAGTCGGGACGACCGACATGGGTACGGAACGAATGGGTACGATGCCCAACAGCAGTTCCTGCTCATCTTGAACAGGGCTCGCTGTCCGCGCCGCCGCGGCCTGTGTCCATTTGAGACAGAAGGCCGCCTGCCCAACAGCGGCCGCTGCTGGTTTGGGGCAACATTTGTTGTTGGGCATTGTACCCAGTTTTTCCGTAACCATTTCGGGCGTCCAAAGGGGGGGGGGACCCGGGGCGCACGTGTGTGTGCGTGTTCGGGAGCCTCGAGACGAGGGTCAAGGCAAGCGGGGACCAGCCAGGGCGCTGGATCTTGCAGGATCCTGCAGGGCCAGGGGCTCGCTGACCCGGGTTTGGGTGCAGGATCCTGTAGCATTTTGCAGGATCTTTCGCATTGACCCGGGTTTGGGTGCAGGATCTTGCAGGATTCTGCAAGGCTTGATTGACCCGGGTTTGGATTGACCCGGGTCAGAAGATCCCCGACGTGTGTGTGAGTGTGTGTGTATGTATGTTGTCCCGTTCTTGCTTGGCTATCTCCGCCTCGTCGCCGCGCGCGAGGCCACGGCCGACAAAAGGTGTGTGTGTGTGTATGCGGCGCGCCCACCGCTGTGGGACCACTGTCGCGCCTCTTTCACCGCGCCACTCCGTCGGGCTGCCGCACGGCTGCGTTGGCCGTCACCTCCCTTGCCGCCTGTCCTCGCCATGCTCGCGCTTCGTTTCCTGGCCTGCCTCGCTTCTCACCACGTGCCGCGTGCTGTCGCTCTGGCCCGTCGGCGCGCCTTCTCGTCCTCGTGTTCCCTCCTCGCCCGCGCCGCCCGTGCCCGGGCATGCGCTTGGCATGGTGGACACCTCCAGCGCATCCCTGCCCACTTCTTCCGGGTGCCCTGCCGCGGGCGTCCGCTACGCTGTGCTCCAGGCTCTCTGCGCCCCGTCGCTGCCCGCGAGGCCGCGGCGCCCAGCTGGCCGCGCTCGTCTCTCTGCTCCACTGTCCCTGCCGTCGACGCTGCGCGCGTGGTCGCGACGCCAATATGTGTAATATATATATATATATGTATATATATATATATGCACACTATATATTTAATCACTTCGCTCATTCCGCCAGCCCGTATTGGTGCACGGCTGTCGAGTGCCCGTGAGATCGTTGTCAATGGTGTGTTGCTGGGTCGTTTTTTGTTTATGGATGGCTGGCTTCGAGTGATTTCGCAGGCGGAAGCCATTCTTTGCCCGCCTGAACCTTCTGTTTCGGAAGGTGGCGGCTCGTGAATACCATCGCAGGGAACAAGACAACATTCTGCAGTTTCCTTTTTGCATACTTCGGGCCCCTTGTCGCTTGTTGGGGACTCTTAGGAGCCTCTTGGGGCGTCCAGGAGGCCTCTTGGAGCGGAAGGCTCGGATTTTCGGTTCGTGGTCTCCATCTTGGGCCTCTCTTGGGGCCCTCTTGGGGTCCTTTTGGACCGTCTTGGGCGCCTCTTGGGCTGTCGTGGGGCTCTCTTGGACGGTATTCGGCCTCTCTTGGAGGCCCCTTGGGCCGCCTTGGGGTGCTCTTGGAAGCTTCTTGAGCCGTCTTGGAGCGTCTGAAAGGCGAAAAGGCGAGGAAGCCAAAAACTTTGAAAAACCCAATGGAAATCAATGGTTTTGGCGCTCTGAGGCTTCGTGGACGTTCATTGGGATCTCGTTGGATGCCTCTCGAGGGCTTCTTGGAGACTCTCGGGAGTCGTTGTCGAGCCTCTTGGGGTCTCTTTCGGGCCCCTTGTCGCCTTTTGGGGCCTCTTGGGGGCCTCTTGGAGCCTCCAGGAGGCCTCTTGTAGCGGAAGGCTCGGATTCTCGGTTAGTGGTCTCCATGTTGGGCCCTTCTTGGGGCCCTCTTGGGGTCCTTTTGGAGCGTCTTGGGCGCCTCTGGGGCTGTCGTGGGGCCATAAGACTCTTGGGCGGTCTTTGGGCTCTCTTGGAGGCCTCTTGGGCCGTCTTGGGGTGGTCTTGGAGGCTTCTTGGGCCGTCTTAGAGCGTCGGAAATGCGAAAAGGCGAGGAAGCCAACAACCTTGAAAAACCCAATGGCAATCACTGATTTTGGCCTTTTGGGGCTCTCTTGGAAAGGGCCGGGGCTCTCCTGGGACGTCTTGGAAGCTTCTTGGGCCGTCTTGAGCCCGTGTTGGGCGTCTTGGGCCGATCGTTCGGTGCTTCGGAACCTTCTTGGACCGTCTTGGAAGCCTGTTGGGGCCCTCTGAGCGCGCTCCCGGGAGCGTGGAAGGCCGCACCCAGGAGGAAAACCATCTCTGACCCGGAGTTTGGCGGGAGTGTCCCGGGACCTTGCCGGGGTACTTTCCGTCCGGGGACCCCGAGGGGCCGCCGAATACGCATGTATATATATGTATATATATATATATATATATATAGAAATACACGCACCTGTATGTATATGTATATGTATATGTATATGTATGTATGTATGTAGGTATGTCTGTCTGTCTGTCTGTCTGTCTGTCTGTCTGTCTGTCTGTCTGTATGTCTGTATGTCTGTATGTATGTATGTATGTATGTATGTATGTATGTATGTATATACATATGTGTATACACATGTGTTTGCGTGGGCCCGTCCGTTCAGTGACCTGCTCCGCTTCGACGCAGCGCGAGAGGCCGCGACCGCCAAAAAGTGCGCGCGCGTGTGTGTGTGTGTGTGTGTTGCTGTCTGGTTCCCCAGAGTGAGCGGCGGCAGCTGCGCAGCTTCAAGATAGCCTGAACGTCTTTGGGGAATTCTGTCCTATATCCCCTCTTAAGTATGTGTGATATTGAACTCTGTATGCTTTGTCTTCATGTGTGGGCACGTGCGTCTCCCTATAAGCACCCTCGTTGGCTCAGGTTGCGCGTTTTGGTGAACACATTCTGGTATCTCTCCGCCAGTTTGATCATCGCTTGACATGCTCAGCGTGTCAGTGGCAGAAGCGTGAACGTCCACAGCAGGACGGGGTTTGGTATCCACGGCAATGCCATGGTCAGACGGACCGGACGGCGGCAAAGGGAAGTGAGAAAGGCTCGAAGAGGCGTAATCAGGGTCTCGGGGATCGAGAGTGTGGAAGTCGACGGTGGCGCAGCGAGGAGCGCTCCAGCTTTCGCATTTAAGCAGAAGCAGGAGCTGGACATCATGTTCCAGAAGCAGCTGCGAGACATACACCAGCTACTATCCAGCGGGGACGCGAGCAGAACTGAAGAGGGTGCTGACCGGAATGCTCGCGACGGCTCCACGGGAAACGAGTGGCACGACGGCCCGAACACAGACCCCTGGATTCGCCGGTCAGGAGGCTCGGCGGAAGACCGCTGGGAAAGCCAAGCCTACAACAAAGACAAGCAGTTCTAGTGGCACGGCACTGATGGGCATGTCAAATCAGAGAGGAACTGGGAGAAGCCGGACATGACATGTTCGGATGAATGGTTCGGTTGGGCAGACTACCGATCGTGGCGAAGGCGCATCGTGAGGTGAGTTCGGCAGACTGGCGTGCATTCGCGAACATAAGGAGAACATTCCCAGTGTATCAGATCGCGACCTACAATCGAAGTTCGAGGACATCACTGACGAGGTCTTGCCCTCCGGCGACGGCGCCATGACCATCGCCTGGCGCTTCGACGTCCTGAGCTGAGCTCGAGTTGATGACGAGAGGCGTTCGTCCGCGCGAAAGTGCTTGCACGGACGTTGTAGGAAGTACAGCGATACATTGACCGTATACACGGCGCGGATGGATCAGATTTTCGACCGTCGCTCAGGGGAGCAACAGGTACTCATACCCCTACCTTTGCCTCGTTTTCCATTTTGAAGCCTCCTGGGGGGCTTTCGTCGCCACCGCTGGATTCGCTTCGAAATCCTGGTCAGAACGCACCCCAGGAGAAGTTTGGGGAGTAGCATCGGCCTGGAGGAGAACGTCATGTTCCCCAATCAGTGCTTGCGTTGAAGATGTCCTAGCGGAAACTGAAAGAGTCGGCGAAAGATTCCCGCCGATTTTAGTAGCCGGCTGGGTTCCCGGATTCCTGGGCTCCCAGTCCCCAGATTCCCGAGTTCTTGGTCATCGGTTCCGGGCCGATCTCTGTGGGTTCTAGGTTCCCGGGTTCCTGGTCGATCTCCGTATCGATCAAATCATCCATTGATTGTGCGTTTTCTTTGGGGTAATAGATGCTCAAGGTCCTGTCTCGAGGCTCGGATTCGTACGGCGCAATGGTGACCGCAGCCCGCGAGATGGACGCGTCGAGGAAGGAGTACTCAGGGCTTACGCTTGGAAAGCTCGCCGAGGCCACCTACGTCGCAGAAGTCGAGGACGACCCTCTGGAGTACAGTGAGGTCTCCTCTATGAGACCGAACCAGTAGGAGCTCGTTCTGGCCTCGCTCGATGAAGGAGATATCGACGAAATTGATGTCCCAGAAGATCTAGCTTCGATCCGTGCATACATGAAGAATACATACAATAATAACGAATAGTGAGCGCAAGGATACTCATTCTCAATCGCAAATTCGACCAGACTCCTGGCGGCCTTCCCCAGTCGCTTGGGTCGGCATCCGCTGGCGCCAGACCCTTTCGACGCGATGAACATCGCAGTGTTGAGGGAGAGGCCAGGCCTCGCACGCGTCGACAGTCGGTGGAACGTTTGACAAAAGTTTCACAATGTCATATTTGCACGAAGAAGGGACACTGGAGCAGTAAGTGTCCCGATCGCGATGGCGAGAACAATGGGTCTACCAGTGGTTTGGTCGTTAATGGTTCCGTCTTGGCCGATGCCTCTTCTTCGCACTTCAGTGCCCCGGTCGACTTCGCATCGCCCGCTCGATAGAACGCGCGCGAGCTGGTGAAGAGAGCCCTCGACACGCTCTGCAGCAGCAAGTGCGGATCCATGGCGATGCGGACGACCGCGCCCAGCGAGATGATCGTGGACATTGCTGCCGATCAGACCCTGGTTGGCAGGCCGTCGCTGGCACGGCGCGAGAAAATTTTGCCCGAGTTAGGCTTCAAGATACTGGGGGTCCCGAGCCGCAACGAGCAGGCGAAAGGCATTGGCGTCCGGATCACGGCCGAGAACAGTCTGTTTCCCCGACGGGCATCGGAGGCAAGTCCGGCGTCATGGACATTGACGCGGTGGACCAGGACATCCCGCCGTTCGTCTCCGTCGGGGCGCATGCAGAACAGTTCGGTGCAGTGATTCAGTTTCCCGGAGAACGCGTGTTTCACCGCAGCCCCATCCAGATGCATGTGTCCAGTGATGCTTCTATTGTGGAGGTCCTGCGGGCTGCGCAGCGGCGCCACGGGTTGATGGCGAGTGGCTTCCGCTTCGAGCAGGAGTCCAAGAACACGGCCCTAAAGTCTTAGGACCGCTCTCCCCTCCTCGTCTTTCCTCGGAGCGTCGCCGTTCGCCCCGGTCGGCGAACAGGCTGAAGGTGTCCGGGCAAGGGCCCCCCAGGGCCCTCCGTTTTCAGGCTCCCAGTGGGCACCCTCGAGACGCGCGCACCGCCCAGCGCCGCGGACCTGCCAGCCCCCTCGCCCGCGCCCAGCCCCCGCGGGAGTCCGCGCGCGCTCACCTGGCCCCCGCCGGGCCCCTCGTCCTCCCTCCTCCCTCCTCGTCCAGCCTGTCCGTCCTCATCCATCCCTCCCGCCCTGCTTTTTTTCTCTCCTTTCCTCCTGCGCCTTCCCTTCGTCCTCCCCTCCCTCGTCCATTTCCTTTCCCTCCTCTCTCCACCCCAGCCATCACGGGCCGTCTGCGGTTGTCAAAGAGGCTGATCTCTCCAGGGTTCGACGGATCGAGGCGCGTCGAGGTTCTCACCTCCCTGGTGTGCTGTGGTAAAGGGTTCGGCTACGTCATCTGTAGCGCTTATAGAATCCCATAGAATCCCTTCTCTTCCTCCCTCTCTTTTCCCTCCTCCCCCCTCCTTCCCTCATTCTCCCCCGTCCCCCCTCCTCTCCCGTCCTCCTCTTCTCTCGTTATTCTTCGCCTCTCCCCTCCTCCTCCCCCTCCTCCTCCTCCCCCCCCCCTCCCCCCCCCTCCTCCTTCCTCTCCTCCTCCTCCTCCTCCTCCTCCTCCTCCTCCTCCTCCTCCTCCTCCTCCTCCCTCCTCCTCCCTCCTCCCTCCTCCTCCTCCTCCTCCTCCTCCTCCTCCTCCTCCTCCTCCTCCTCCTCCTCCTCCTCCTCTCTTCCCGCCGGGCAGGATGGCTGGTACGTGCTGAACGGCAGCTGGACGGGCGAGCCGCCCCGGGTGCCCGTGAGCCGGCTGCTGCCCCAGGCGCCCCCTCCCCGCCGTCGCCGCGCACCGGTGTGGCGCCGGCGTTGCCCCTCCCTCTCACGCAGGGCGTCTCTCCGGGAGATCGCAGGGCGTGAGTCGCCGGGAGCTTGCGTCGGCACGAACGAGATGGGTACGGAAAGAGTGGGTACAATGCCCAACAGCAGTTCCTGCGCATTTGGAACAGAGCTCGTTGTCCACGCCGCCGCGGCCTGTGTCCATTCGAGACAGGAGGCCGCCTGCCCAACAGCGGCCGCTGTTGGTTCGGAACAACTTTTGTTGTTGGGCATTGTACCCATCTTTTCCGTGCCCATTCCGGGCGTCCAAGTTGCGGAGCGCGCCAGGGAGGGGGGTCCAGCGCCGATCACCGAGAACTCCGCGCGGGCCTCCGAGTTTGTATGCTCATGTCACTCTTTGCTCCCCTATTCTTCTGCAATTTTATCGTAGACCCCCCGCGGGGGATCCGGGCCACGTGCGAGCAGTGACTTCGGCTGCGAGCCGTGGAGCGCGCCCGTCTGTCCTCGGAGGCCGGCCGGCCCAGCCCCCGGCACCCGGTCTCGGCAGCCTCGAGACGGGGGTCGAGGAGGAGGAGGAGGAGGAGGAGGAGCAGGAGGAGGAGCAGGAGGAGGAGGAGGAGGGGGAGGAGGAGGAGGAGGAGGAGGAGGAGGAGGAGGAGGAGGAGGAGCAGGAGGAGGAGGAGGACGAGTGCCCGATCCTGCAGGATCCTGATCCTGCAGGATCCTGCCGGGTCAGGGTCGCACTGACCCGGGTTTGGGTGCAGGGTCCTGCAGGATCTTGCAGGATCCTTCGCATTGACCCGGGTGTGGGTGCAGGGTCTTGCAGGATTTTGCAGGATTTTGCAAGGCCTGGCTGACCCGGGTCTGGATTGACCCGGGTCAGAAGATCCCTGACAGCTTTCAGTTCCCCCCCCCATCCCCATGTCCTCACCTTCCTCCTCTCCCTCCGGCTCTACAGTCGGCCCAGATTCGTAGGTCGACCCTGCCAAATCAAGGGTGTCCTTGTGTCCTGTGTCCCGCGACCCCTGCTTCCTGCACTCCTGTGGCAATGTGGCCCTTGGAAGGGTCTTGTGTCCTCTCGCGTGTCCTTTCCAATCGAGTCCGACTGTAGTCTGCGGTGCTTGCCTCAGATCCACGCCGGGGAGCTTATGAAGGGCCCAGGCCAGCCGTGGCCAGAGAGGCACTTTCGGTCCTTATTGGGCGTCCCTTTACGACCGTATACCTCCCCCCCTGCCCCCCCTGGCACTTCCAGGCAACCCTGGATCGGAATTCGCCGGCCCAACGGGCCAGAGGCGTGCTAAGATCTCCGGTAACTGGTTAACAATAACTCTATACTTCGCGCGCGCGGAGCGGCCCCTGGGGGTCCCCGGCCGGAAAGTACCCCGGCAAGGTCCCGGGACATTCCCGGCAAACTCAGGTCAGAGATGGTTTTCCTCCTGGGTGCGGCCTTCCACGCTCCTCTGAGCGCGCCAAGAGGGCCCCAACAGGCTTCCAAGACGGTCCAATAGGGTTCCGAATCACCGAACGATCGGCCCAAGACGCCCAACACGGCCTCAAGACGGCCCAAGAAGCTTCCAAGACGTCCCAAAAGAGCCCCGACCCTTTCCAAGAGAGCCCCAAGAGGCCAAAATCATTGATTTCCATCGGTTTTTTCAAGGTTTTTGGCTTCCTCGCCTTTTTGCGTGTCCGACGCTCCTGGACGGCCCAAGAAGCCTCCAAGACCACCCCAAGACGGCCCAAGAGGCCTCCAAGAGAGCCCCACGACCGCCCAAGAGGGCCCCACGACGGCCCAAGAGGCTCCCAAGACGGTCCAAAAGGACCCCAAGAGGGCCCCAAGAGGGGCCCAACATGGAGACCACGAACCGAGAATCCGAGCCTTCCGCTCCAAGAGGCCTCCTGGAGGCTCCAAGAGGCCCCCAAGATGCCCCAAAAAGCGACAAGGGGCCCGAAAGAGACCCCAAGAGGCTCGACAACGACTCCCGAGAGTCTCCAAGAAGCCCTCAAGAGGCATCCAACGAGATCCCAATGAACGTCCACGAAGCCTCAGAGCGCCAAAACCATTGATTTCCATCGGGTTTTTCAAGGTTTTTGGCTTCTTTGCCTTTTCGCCTTTCCGACGCTCCAAGACGGCCCAAGAAGCTTCCAAGACCACCCCAAGACGGCCCAAGAGGCCTCCAAGAGAGGCCCACGACCGTCCAAGAGAGCCCCACGACAGCCCAAGAGGCGCCCAAGACGGTCCAAAAGGACCCCAAGAGGGCCCCAAGAGGGGCCCAAGATGGAGACCACGAACCGAAAATCCGAGCCTTCCGCTCCAAGAGGCCTCCTGGACGCCCCAAGAGGCTCCTTAGAGGCCCCAACAAGCGACAAGGGGCCCGAAGAATGCAAAAAGGAAACTGCAGAATGTTGTCTCTTTCCCTGCGATCGTATTCACGAGCCGCCACCTTCCGAAACAGAAGGTTCAGGCGGGCAAATAATGGTTCCCGCCTGCGAAATCACCCAAAGCCAGCCATCCATAAACGAAAAAACGACCCAGCAACACCCCATTGACAACGATCGCACGGGCACTCGACAGCCGTGCACCAATACGGGCCGGCGGAATGAGCGAAGCGATTCAATAACACGCTCCAGCGAGTGCTCGAACGCTCTCAGAGCAATCTGGAACGTTCCGAAACGGCCGCGACGCCCGACGCATCCTCCACACCGCTGCGTCTCACAGGTCCCCCGGTTCATCCCAACCCGATCTTGTCCCGCTCCTGGCTTCGTTTCAATACAGTCGGGGCCCTGAAGAAGGAACCCTCTTAATTGGGGAGGGGCTCCGCGTTCCTGAACTGTTTCGCAGCTTGCCTCAGGTTTTCCTTGGGTTTTCGATATGACATCGAAGTTTCACTCATGGGAAAAAGGGGCCTCGTTCCTTATTTTGGGCTCCTTAGGTCAAGGCCCCGACTGTAGGTCCCCCGGTGCATCCCAGCCCGATCTTGTCCCGCCCCTGGCTTCCGTTGCAGTGTTCCGGCCGCGGGGTGAGGAGGAGGCCCCCGCGGGAGCGGCGTGGGCGGACAGGAGGCTTGGGGAGGCTGCGGCCGCGAGGGGAAGCGGAGGCAAGGACGACGAAAGCGACGAAAACGTCGACGACGACCACGACGACGACCACGACGACCACGACGACGACGACGACGACGACGACGACGACGACGACGACGACGACGACGACGACGACGACGACGACGACGACGAGCCGCCCGCCCGCCCGCGCCGCGAGCGCGGCCCCGAGGCGACCGCGTACCGGAGGGGCTGGCAGCAGCCCTGGTGGTGACCCGCGGGGGGCACCGGCGCAGCCGAAGCGGAAGCGGGCCGAGGGCGGGCGGGCCGAGGGGGCGGCCGGCGGCGGCGCGGCCGCGTCGTCGCGCCCCGCTGCTGAGAGAGATCCTCTCTCGTTCTCTGTTTGTTTCCCGTTTTTTTTGTTCTCTCTCTCTCTCTCTTTCTTTCTCTTTCTCTTTCTTTCTCTCTCTCTCTTTCTTTCTCTCTCTCTCTCTCTCTTTCTCTCTCTCTCTCTCTCCCTCTCTCTCTCGTTCTCTCTCTCGCTCTTTTTTTTTTTTTTTCTCTCTCTCTCTCTCTCTCAGGTACCTTCACGCCGGAGACGGGTGCAGGCTTCGCTTAACCCAGCGGGTGAGACTCGGACGGCTGCGAGGCAGAGTCGCAGTACACCGTTTGCTCGCTGGGGGGGGGGTTCCCCTTCGCCCGTCTGTCTCCCTCCCCGGCCGTCCGCCCACGGGTGTGGAGGGCTCCTTTTGCCGACTCGCACGGGCCAAGGTGCGGGGTGCGCCCGCCCCGCGGGGCGCGCGGACGTTGCTGCGCCGATCGGTCCGGTATCATTTGTTTGTTGTGTTTTGTTTTTGTGTTCTCTCTCTCTCTCTT